GAGAGAGAGAGAGAGAGAGAGAGAGAGAGAGAGAGAGAGAGAGAGAGAGAGAGAGAGAAGGTAAGTCTCCAGCCTCACGGCTGGCCTCCTGGTACTTCCATCGATAGGATGAGCAAAATCAAATGAATCTACCACCAGAACATGGAAATATACACTGCCACATTTGTTTGTTTGTGTGTGTGTGTGTGTGTGTGAGAGAGAGAGAGATGGTGGGAAGAGGGAAAGAGAGAGAGAGAGAAGTAGCGATGGTGGATGGCGGAAGGCGGGAGAAAGGCCGAAAATGGGATGGTGGGAAGCGGCGGAAGAAGACGGGAGGAATGAGAGAGAGAGAGAAGGTAAGTCTCCAACCTCGCGGCTGGCCTCGATAGGATGAGCAAAATCGAATGTATCTACCACTAGAACATGGAAATATACACTGCGCACACGCGGCCAGCACACCAGACGTCAGCAACGCGCACTGCGCACCCAGATGCGTGGCGCGCGCGCACCTCGGGTCCACGCACAGCGCACAGTGCCGGTGCGCCGCAAGTATGAAATAAAAACATTATTAAAGCAAGTCACAAACTCGAATGAACTTCGCCTTTATTACGAAAAACAAGGCCTGTTTGTGTGCCATTCACTACTGTTTTCATTCCTTAATTGGATATAAATTTGCAACAAAGTAAAAAGGAAGAAAACTTCCTACACCGTCAAACAAACTTAGGTTGTTCATTTGTTACCTGTTTAAAAGATTTTTTGTCATTCCTGAGTTGGATTAGCTTGTATCAAACTTCAAAAAAATAAAAAACAAAATCCGAAAACATCTTGTACACAGTTAAAGAAGAAGGAAAAGTTCAACAAACACACTCCATGACCGTCGGCGCGGGGTTGGAGGGAATCAGTAGACACATCGACTTTCTCAGGCAGGGGGATTTTCTTCCAGGTTTGGTTCTTACATGCAGGCCCCTCATTAACACCAGTGACAAAGTGCAAGAACAACCCAAGTTTGCATGACCGAGCAGGCTGACAGGCACCAGAATTAGACTGCTTGCCGTTTGGGATTTTTTTTTTGTTCTCAATACAGTTTGGAATTTTTCAATGCCGCAGCTTGCAGCTGTCATTTCCCCAATACAGAAGTTCACTTTTCTGTTGCACTCGGGGATTCTTTTGATGCACTGCAGAGTTGGACGCGCCAACCGGCGGCACCCCCAATCCGTAGGCTGCCGACCTGCTGACAGGTCGGGGGAAGTAGGGCTCCCGCACTTTTCCGTGGCGGCCGCCTGACCCGCAAAGGCCCCGTTTTTGGGGTCTGGGCCGGTCGGGGGGTGGTTGGCCGTTCGCCGCACGGCCGTGGAGGCTGCCGACCGTAGACACCGACGTTCCCACGGTCGGTAAGTTTAAAAGACTGTGGCTGCCCACATTCTTCTCTCTTGCGCGGTGGCATTGTGGGCAGCCGTGAGTGTGGGCAGCCACAGTGCCTGGGGGAGATGAGAAGATTGTCGGCAGTCGTGATTGGGGAGGGAGACGTGCATGGAGGGGATGGTGTGCAGCCATGAATCTTTCAGAGAGAGAGAGAGAGAGTGAGTGAGCTCCACCATTCAAGAAGAGCTGCAGCTTTCGGCCTCCTTCGGTCAGTGTACGTATGTGTGAGAGCTCGACAGAAGGAGTGAGAGAAAGGCTTCTTCTACTTCTTCTTCTTCTTCTTCTTCTTCTTCTTCTTCTTCTTCTTCTTCTTCTTCTCCTTCTTCTTCATTGAAGTTGCAACAGCAATTATTCACCCAAATTCTTCTTCATTTTCTCCTTCGTCTTCTTCTTGTTCTTCTTCTTCCCACCATCACCCACCCTCACTTCTTTTTTTTTTTTTCAAGTTCGAAAATTCGTAGGGCGCTCATCAGCCACCCCTTCTTCTTCTTCTTCTTCTTCTTCTTCTTCTTCTTCCCACCATCACCCAACCCCACTTCGTTTGTTTGTTTTTTTTAATCGGAAATTCGTAGGCACTCATCATTCCCCCCTTCTTCTTCTTCTTCTTCTTCTTCTTCGTTTTGACAACCATGGCGGGTGATCGGGGACCATTTGAGCCCGAGACTGGTGAAGCCAGATAGGAACTGCTGAGGAAGTCTGATGTTTGGAAATGGGTGGACCAAGGGCAGAAGTTGTTGGGCGGTATGTCGCATGGCAACTGGGGATTGCGGTGCAGATTGTGCAACAAAGGGTTCACCGGAACGGCGTCAAGAGCGGCGAAGCACTTTGTCCAATCGTCAGATGCTGCTCGCTGCAGGCACAGCATCAGGGAGATTGTTGCTGCGGTCCGCAAGTGCCACCCATCACAAGAAATCTGCCCCAAAGATGATGACCAAATTGACTGAGTATTACAAGACGCAGAGCCGTCCGTCGGTCGCGGAGGATTCCGTGAATTTGGAGCCCGATCAGTGCACGGGGGGGGAGGGTGGGCTTGACACACCTTCGGCGGGGAGATATTGCAGGCCAGGTCCAGCGTCGGAGGAAGGAAGCGCCATTGGTTTTGCATCGAACTCCATTGGGAACAGAGCAGCCCCCACTTGCACGCATGATGAGATGCCATCCGAGATTGCCGAGCCTGCAGGGTCCCGTACTGACTTCCGCTCGCCCACCACGACCTCCCTCGGCCGGTGTGGGGCGGCAGCAGTCGTCCATGAGCGACTTTGTCGTGGATGAGCTGCAGAAAGAGTTTGCCGGAACTTTGACCAGGTGATGGCCTCATTCTTCTTCGAGAACGCCATTGCATTCAACGCTGCAAGATCAGACTCCTATAAGAACATGGAGAGGATCATGAACGAGGCGGCCAGGTCGCGGAAGATGTTGAAACTACCAGGGTACAACTTTTTGAGGACGAAGGCCCTGCCCGCGGGATACAAAACTGTGGATGCAGATTTGGAGAAGATCCACGAGTCATGGGATGTTACAGGCCTCACGTTGATGACGGACGGCACGACAACGACCAGCAACAGGCCGGTCGTGAACTTCATTGCAGCCAGGGATTCGGGGGCTGTCATGGTGAGGAGTGTTGATCGGCTCCGGCTTGGGCAAGGATGTGGGACGAGGTCATCAGGGAGTTGGGGGTCCACAGGGTCAATGCCATATGCACCGACTCGGCACAGGTGAACATATCCGCAAGGAAAATAATAGCTGAGCACGATGACCCGGCGATCAGGAGTATTCCTTGGGTGCCATGTGCATGCCATGTGTGTAACCTGCTCATGTGCGACATCGCTTCAGTGCCATGGATTGGAGAGGTGATTCTGCAGGGCAGGGAAATCACCACCTTCATCAAGAGACATCAGAGGGCTTTGGCGATGTTCAGGAGGGCTGGAAGGGAGTACAAGACAACTGGGGATCAAAGATGGCAGGCCGTTGGAGTCGATCCAACCAGGGGAAACGAGATTTGGCACAAACTTTCCTCATGTTGCAGAAACTACGGGAGGTGGAGGCAGTACCGCTGGCGACTGTTTTCCATGCGCGGTGGGTGACTCCCCATGGGACCGGACTGCATCAACACGGGCGCGAGCATGCAAGGATCTCATACAAGACCCGGCTTGGTTGTTGACCGTCGAGGGGCATGCACTTTGCTTCAGCTCGTTTTTGCCCTGTTGAAGGACATGCACAGAGACGGGAGGATGGGGATGCAGTTGTGGTCTTTGGGCATCACGTTGGAGAAGAGGATGGCTGTTTTACCCATGGATTGCGAGACAAGGGGAATCGTGATGAAGAAGGTGAAGGAACGTGTGAGGACGATGGCTCTCTCTGTGCATGCAGCACCGTGGATGTTGCACCCACTCCACAGAAAGCCTAGATTATTCGACGACTTGGAGTCTGCGGAGATATATGAACACTCGGGCACACTTTGCTGCGGTTTACACGAAAATTGAAGGAGTACAAAGAGTGCTGGAGGTCTCTGGAGAGTTTCCATCACAAAAATCCGGAGTGGATTCAGCCGAACTCAGAGGAGGCTTCGAGAGGCACTCTGTGACGAGGCAGAGGCAGAGGCAAGGTTGGGAGAGAGAGGGAGAGTGAGAGCACACACACGCTCACTCAGCTCGACACACACTCGACACGACTCAACGGAAGCAGACACTAAGTGGCAAAGTCGCAAAGTCGCAATCTTGGATTCCGAACACAATGTCACAACAAGTCACACTGAAGCACAAGCACCGAGGCTGAAAACTGAATGCCCGTACTGGGCTTGAGTCTGGTCTTAAGTATTGGACTCAAGTTCAGTCCCGAGGGCAGAGGTGCAATTTGCCTCAGGGCTGAACTTAAAATCGAAGGTCTGAGTCTGGGCGCCAGAATGCCGGATGGCGCCAAGTGACGAAGTCTGAAAGTGCCAAAGGAGGAACTTGAGAATGGACGACAACTGCAGAGGACGCCAACAGTCAGAACCGAAGAGCAGAACAAACAAAAAGAAAAAAAAAAGAAAAAGAAGGCTGGCGGGTGGTAACCAGCGGACCAGGGATCGAAACCTGGCTGAGTCCGTAACACACTCACATTTCAGCGGCTGGATGGTGGTTGACATATGGGAAGAAACACAAGTCGTTGCATAAGATTGCAGTCGGAGTGCTCAGTATGCGGACAACCGCCTCTCCATGTGAGAGGAATTGGTCCACCTTCGACCTCATTCACGCAAAGAGGAGAAATCTTTTGAGCCCGGAGAACTTGCAGATGCTTGTCTTCATCCATTGGAACAAAATGTTGCTGAAGATGTCAAGATGAAGATCGGGTTTGTTGACACTGAGTGATTGGCGTGGGAGACACCAGAGGGCATGGGTCCCTATGATGGTTTCATGTGAGACAGGGAGTACGGCCGGGAGGAAGTGAAGAGGAGGGCCGTAAACTGGTCCAAATCTCGCAGCCGTAGATCGAAGTCGACGAAATTCGACATTCGGGAGCTTGAGGAGGAGAGGGTGGACGACGGGGCATGGCTCCTTCATCTTTCTTACCGCCCTCGCTGTCCTGCAGATCATGTCCGTGGGAAGACCATTGTTGATGTTGACGACGAAGAGCTTGGCCATGACAGCGAGGATGATTACAAGTTGGTTCGAGTGGACTGACAGGTGGTCGACTAGGAGGTTGGGAGGTGTTCATCTTCTTCCTCCACGCGCGACCACATCACGACGTTGGAGTCCTTGCGTGTTGCATACTCCAATGAGTATGGGCAGAACCAAGAATCAACCAATGTAGGATGAGTATAGATGCAACGGAAGTCTGATAACCGGACTGACTCACATAGACTGACTCACATAGCATYACTCCACACACATTCAATCGTGAGATGGTGGGGTCTGAGCCATACATAGAAGATGCTCAGCCCCGTACACACATACACAGATGAATGGGGGAGGAGAGACGAAGAGGTGGGGGGAGGTAGACAGCACCGAAAGTCACCGAGGTAGAATCTGATAGGTCACCGATATGGTAGTCCAAAATGTCGACCAACAAGATCAAAATGTCGAGGACCATAGGTCACCAATGTCGGGGATACAGAGTCCAAATGTAACCGGTGTCTGAACTGTGATGTCGCCAAGTATCAACCCCAACGATCTCCAAGTCTCCAATCTGGTAAGTACCACAGTCTCATATCACCGAAGTCCAACTCTGATCTCTGTCCAACTAGCATAAGTCTCTAGTCTGAAGAAGAAGAAGAAGAAGAAGAAGATGAAGAAGGAGGAGGAGGAGGAGAGAGAGAGAGAGAGAGAGCTGACGAGGGAGGGAGGAGAGGTCCTCCGGCTCCCAGGTACCTCAGGCGGCAATGGCCGCCGTGCTGGCTCAGTCGCCCTGCTGCTGCTCCGCTTGCTGCTGCGCTAATGCTGCGCTGCCGCTGCTGCTCCTTTCTCGCTCCTGCGCTAAACTTAGCGCATCAACACAGCGCTCTGGCGCTGACCATACCGTACCGGTATAGTGCCGGAAGGTCGATGCCTCCAAGTGAGGCTGTACCGGTACTTTATACCGGTGGGGCAGAGGCCGGCGTCAATGCTGCGAGGCCTGGCCATGCCCTGAACCGTCCAGATGGACGGTTCAGCCCCAACCGGCGGGCGGCAGCCTCAAGAGCGCCGCCAGGCCCAAACGATAATGCCGTTTGGGCCTGCCCGTTGGGTACTGGTCCAAGATCAGGCCCTGAGGGCCTGTACTATCCCAAGGTCGGGCCTTTAGGCCCTGATGTGTCCCTCCGACCCTAAGTCGGGTCCGGTAGGGCCCGTGTGCGTCGAAGATGTAACATTGCGTCTGGCAGGTGCTTGGCGGGCACTTCAGCCTCGTTCACAACGGCGGACTTCCACATTAGGTGGTGCAGCTTCGCTGCAGGGGACCGCCTCACTCTCGGGAGCACACCTCACCCTTCATCGGCGACCCCCGCTCGAGGAGATAGGCGCTGCTTGTGGGACTACACCTGGGGGGTCGTAGTAGCAGTGAATGAAAGTGTGTTGTTCATGTGAGAGAGAGAGAGAGGCAATCTTCTTCTCCTTCTTCTTCTTCCACTTCTTCTTGTTCTTGTTCTTGTTCGTGTTCTTGTTCTTCTCCTCTTTGTCATCTTCGTCTTCTTCTTCTTCTTCCTACTCTTCATTCTCCTTCTTTTCTAGGGTGGCCCACGTGCGCTCAAATTTTGGCTCCGTTTTTCAGACTTCGGGGACAATCACACTCTATTGAAGTAATGCTTTTCTGCAATTGCATTGAGCACCTCTGCAGTCCTTCTTTCCATCTGCCATCCCCTGACGGAACCCCCAAACACCCCTGGAGCCAAACACCCTCTGCCCCCGGGCCGACCGGTCGGCTGCAAAATGGTCGGAGGTCGGGGTCGGCGGGGGTGCAACCCTAATGCAATGATCTTTTTAAACTGACATGGGTTTGACCTTCGAGACATTCGTTAAAAATTGGAACACAGAGAACATTAGAACGGCCCTTCGGGGAAGGGTGAAGGGGGGGGGGGAAGGGGGGAACACATAAACAAACCAACATCGGCGAAGGGAGAAAGACGGTGACCATCGAAGGAGGTTGGTGTTACATGCACCAAATGAAAAGACAAAACACCTGAGCAAGCACATGCACGATCCAGGTTCTTGCCGCAGTCGCAAATTGTTGAGACATTCTTTCGGAGTTGAGTCTGAGAAGAAACTTGCGTGTTTCACTACTTTCTCTCCACCTTTATCTGATTCGGGAAATGGATGACATCAGTTACAAAGTAGATCGGCCAAGGTGTTCAATACGAACTTACATCATCCTCCCCTCCGTCGTCCTCTGCCTGAGAGCTCGGTCCACTTGGCTCCGCCCGTGCCCGTCGTCTAGGCCTGGCCCGCTCCTCATCTTCATCACCATCTGCCATCATCAAAAGGTAACAATCACATTAACAATTTACGCCAATAAAGAGTTGAGTAAACTGGAATCTGGATCAATATCCTTGCCAGCAGAGTGATCAGGCTCCCCCCCTAACAGGAGCTGTACCATAGTTGCGGCGCACCAGTGCACAGTGCGGTATGCGTCGGTGCGTTGTGCGCTGGAATGACAGCGCGTGCACTGTGCGCTGTGCGCAGTGCGAGCGCTGCGGGCGGTGCACCAGGTGCGTGACTAAAATAAAATAAAAAACATATATACGCACCCCAGAGAGAGAGAGAGAGAGAGAGAGAGAGAGAGAGAGAGAGAGAGAGAGAGAGAGAGAGAGAGAGAGAGAGAGACCAAAGGGTCCCCTTCACGACAATTCAACGGGCCCTCCAGGTAACTCAAATGACTCCTACAACGTATGTGGACATTGTGGAGTCATTGAGGACCAATGCTTCAACGAGCAGGATGGCCGCATCATATGTGGCAGAGTTGGGAGTAGACCACCCATATAAACTGTGGGTTTCAATTCAGGTCTGTAGCTCGGCAGTTATGGGTCACCAATTCAGCTAGACCCTGTTCGTGTCTCCACGTGATTCTCAGGGCCTCGCTCTGCCACTCGCCAAATGTATAACATTAGAATGAATCTTCTGCTAAAACATGGAACCATATGCTATGTCTTTTGTGCATGTGGTGAGTAGTGGAGTGAGGGCCCTTGGGCCACTGTACATATTCATAAGAAAACAAAAAGAAAAAAACGAGGGAGCTACAGGCATCTTCATCCTAACCCATAACTGCTGGCATGGAGACCTGAATGCTAATCTTCAGCATACATTGGTGGTCGGCTGGCTTTACAAAACATATCTCGTGACTTTTGCGAAGCACTGTGGGCAGGTCGCTATTAGGCAATTACACCCTTCTCGCTAATTTCTTCCACCACTACGTGGGATTTGCAGAAGGGAGGGGGAAGGCCAGTTTCCACACCCCACCTTAAAAAAAAAACTGGAATGAGCTCTATTTTCATGTTCTGACATTTCAAAGCTTTTCGGAGAGGGGGATGCGGAAGCCTGCCAAAAACAAAACTCGCGCAGCGAGTTGAACATTTTTGCCTGGGGGACCCTAAGAAATTACGAAACCCCTACTTTTTTTTCCCCCGGAGTCCCGGACCTTAACTTTTCCGGTGCGTGCGGTGTGCAACGTGTGCGCAAATCCGTGCACCGAGGTGCGCCGCAACTATTAGTTGTACCCATCTGAAGCACAGACCTCAGATGATATATAAGACGATCTGTTCTTGTCTCTGGCTGACGAAACCAAACCAGACTGAACTTGCTTCGTTGTCTGATGACTTCAGTGCTCAAACTTTAAGAAAAACAAATAAATAAATGTGAGGCCACTGCAGAGCAGAGCAATTCACACTGTTCCCAACAGGGCAGGACACAAAATTGCAAATGAAAAAAAGCTGTGGATGGTTGAGATTACCATGGCTCACATACATAGCAGACCTCTAGTCCACACTAAAGACAATGAAGGGGAAAAAAAATGTGGAACCACAACTTTTTTTTTTTTTCTTTTTTTTTTTTAAAGGGGCGACGGCCTTGAGATATGATCATCAAACTGATCGTCCCTAGGTAATCCAAGATTGTAGTATCTCAGTCATTCGACTTCAGTCGAGTTCGAACTCAGGTCTGTATTTCAACAGTTCAGGGGTGTACCAACTGAGCTAGGCCAGTTGGCACCACGACAGATTTCGCCTGTCACCATGAGCTTTTAAGGTGGGGGGTGGGGGTGGGGGTGGGGTGGGGGGGATGAGCACGGATCGGGGGTCGGGGTGCAGGGGGTCACAACCTCACCACTCTCCTCCTTAACACATGCATACCCGGCATCATCAAATCGGTGAAGATGTTAAAAGCCTGAGGGACTACCTTGTGGACGGAGAGAGAGTGTGAGGCAGTAGTGCGTGTAGGTAGAGTAAGAGGGTAGTATAGGCAGACAGATCATAGCAAGGTGACTACATTGCTTTTTCTTTTTTTTTCCACAAAAAGAACCCCATCTATTCTGGGCGGCAGCAGTCCGGTTGCTTATCACCGGCAACCATGGATCACAGAACGAACGGCAGAAGAGATAAGCACGGCCTCATACCCCTGTCGCCCAAGACACGATGCAGGGGGGGTGTAGTGGCTGCACGGGGCCGCATGCCTGTAGCCATCCGGAGCTCGCATAATGTGCGGGAAACCATGACTTAGTACCCGGACACACATTATGCAGGTCCCGAGCGGGGCTGGTAGGTGACTGCACTGTTGTTGTATTGGTTGTTTAAGGCACGAGCAGGTCTTTCATTGTCAAGACACTGACAGTGTACTGATTGTTAGAGGCACGAAGAGGGCTTTCATTATCAAGAGACTTCAGTGTTCTGAGTGTTCTTAATGGGTGTTCTTCTGCTTCTGTATCTCAGAAATTGGTCTCAAGTTTGTTGTTCTTAAATTGGGCTTCTGTGATGGTTCCTTGCACGTCGCTCTACAACTGTACATTGTACAACATTTGTTTTTTGAATTTTTTTTCCCCAGAAACTTTTGCAAGGAAGATGAGCATTAGCGAACTCCAGCAATCAAACAGCATTATACATATGTGTCCAGATAGTCTTGACCTCGAACCAACAGCAGTCATGCATCACGAGATTCACCAAATCAGAACACACCAATAGTTCGTAATTGACAATGTTGAAATAGTCTCTCATCATCATCAACGAAGAACAAGAGTTGATATCCTATTGGCGCTCGGCGCCCAGACTACTTGTGGCAGATCCTACCTAGCCTAATACTACAATGCCGATGTTGACAACAACAGCTCCCTGAAGTACGAGCATACAGCGGACAATGCCGCACGCTTCCAGCACCAGGTATGTCTCTCGTAACACTCACAACCTCGATCCACACCGCACAGATGCCACTTGCACCCAAGGACCACCYTGCGTCACATCCAGCCTACAGCGGAGCAGCTYGGCTATGGCTGCCCGCTACCTCCCTGCTCGCCCGTGATAGCGTGAGTGCCAGCCAGCCAGCAATGAGCGCAGCAGCGCTTGCGCAGCATGCAGCCAGCACCCGAATGTCGAAYGASGAGGCAGGCCCTTCCCTATATCGAAGTGGCCTGCCTGCRTCCAGYCCARGAAGCTTCCGGTAGGCCCCGGTAGGCACAGGCCCAGTCACGAAGAGAGCAGGCCTTGGGCCTGAAGTGGTTGCATGCGCCCAACTGCTTTCGGCCTGTGTTTGGCCCGGTACCCGTATCCAGCCCAGGGCCTGCTTCACATTCATTTACACAGGCGGGCCAGGGCCTGGATTCATTCAACCAACTGGCGCAACGCAACTGCCTGAATTTCCCCAATGCGGGGTACCCTGAAGAATGAGGCCCAAAGGGCCTGTCGTGCCTGCCTTCACTTAGGGCGGCCGACCTTGTTGCAGATAGGGCCCCATAGGGGCTAAGCGGGCTTAGCCTCGCACTTTTGAAAGTTTTCTGAAAAACCGAACTTGGGAACAATGAAACATTCAAAAAAAAAAAACAATCAAATTCAAAATTTTAATTTCAAATTTTCAAAATTCCCGCCAGAACCAAAGGATGTCAGGCTTCCAGACCCCACACAGCTGACTGTCCAGGGACACTCGTCTGGGTATGCGGACGGTAGCCATGATTTTTTTTTGGGCTGTGGCAAAACGAAAAACAGCAAGTAACCAAAAAAACTAACAGCACAGGAGTTGATATAACTTCAGAGCACAACCATCCGCTGATTTTTTTTCAAATCTGAGATGGGGCCTGTACTGCGCTTACTGAGTACAGCCCAAATCCGCTGTGAAACTTTTGGGGATGGGGGGGGGTATGGGGGGTTAGGGGTTGGAGTATAGGGGGGATATAGGGAGGTAAAGTGTAACGAGCGTGAGGCTGAGGGTGAGCCGAGGGAGATGAGAGAGAGGGAGAGAGAGGGAGAGAGAGGGAGAGAGTGAGAGCACACACACACACTCACTCACTCGACACGACGGACTCGGACTGAGGGTCGGACGCAGACACAGTGGCAAGGCACAAAGTCGAAGTCTTGGATTCCGAATGCCGAAACGGCAAGTCACACTGAGTACAAGTACAGAAGCAGAGAACTGGTCGAGACTCGTCCCCGNGCCTGAATTTCCCCAATGCGGGGTACCCTGAAGAATGAGGCCCGAAGGGCCTGTCGTGCCTGCCTTCACTTAGGGCGGCCGACCTTGTTGCAGATAGGGCCCCGTAGGGGCTAAGCGGGCGTAGCCTCGCATTCCCTCCTCCATATCTTCGTTTGTCCTCTGCGAAGATCAATCTGCAGCCATCTGGTGCTTTCCTTTCAGTACATCCTTCTCATAGCGGGCAACGATTTGAGGAGAGGTCTGCATCAGTTCCTCCCGAGTAAACCAGCGGTCTTCCTTCGGATCTGTATGATGTCTGAAGTGGACTCGGAACTGCAGCTTTGGCTTTGCAGGACGTCCCCTTCCTGGAGGCTTCTGAACACGCATCTCCCTGTGGTCAACGATATCATCGATGTCGACTTCTCCGTCCATGGTTGGGGGCAGCGTGGATCGACGAGAGGGAAACTGATCAGTTTCCTTGGATTAAGCGAGCTTAGAGGCGTGAAAGACTGGGTAAGTTCTGAGATGACCAGGGATACGGATGACATATGATGGACCATCAGGATCTGTCCCTACCACGTCTAAAACTTCCCAAGGTCCAAAGTACTGAGGCATGAGTTTGTGGGATATCCCGAACTCCTGTCCCAGTTCTGAAGATTTGACCCAGACTCTGTCCCCAACCTGAAATGCAGAAGGGCGGCGGTGTTTATTCTCAGATTCTATCATTGCTCCCTGCGCCTTCTGTATATGCTCTACAGCCTCCTGCATCTTCTGTTCATAAGGATACGCGAACTCCAAAGTGCCCGGCGTAACAGTTGGCTGGTTATCAGGAAGTAGGAAGTCTAAAGGCAGTCTAGGCCTAAAGGTAAGATGTAGACTGTTAGGACTTACCCCGGTAGCGCTGTGTACCGCGTTATTGTACAGTTGGACAGCGCGGTTCATCTGTTCAGCTGCAGCGGCCTTCTATAATTCACTTGTAAATCTGACATCCCTGTCACTTACAATAGACTTAGGCAATCCAAAATCCCTCACCCAGTTCTCTTTGAAAAGCCTGATTACATACTCGGTCTTCGCTGTTTCCGGCATGGCTATTAACCTAGCATACTTGCTAAACCTATCCACGATGACGAAGATCTGCCTCATCCCACTCTTGCTGGTGACCAGCGTATCCATGAAGTCCATGGACAAGCTTTCACCCGGCCTTTCCGGAATCGGAAGGGGCTTGAGCAGCCCAAGAGGAGCCTGAGTACGGGGCTTGTCTCGTTGACAAACCTGACAAGTCTCCACATACAGCTGTGCATCTCGCATCATCGTGGGCCACCAGAATCGCTGCAGCAAGTTGGCTGCGGTCTTCTTATACCCGAAATGACCAGTGGCATCATGACACTCACCTAGAAACAAACTACGCAAAGACTCACTATTGGGAACACAATCGTTTATTCCCTGCATTCTCAAGGAACAGCAAGCCATTAACCAACTCAAACTTGGCAGACGTCTTCTTGTCCTTCGCCTCAAGTCTGCGTATGATCTCAGCCATAAACTGGTCCTCGCGATAGGCTTCCACCAAGGATTGAGTAACATTGTCCGTGAGACTGAACTCAGTAATCAGCGCACCTGAGAAGTCTGGTCTGCGCGACAGGGCGTCAGCAACCTTGTTATACTCCCCTTTCAGATACTGAGGGTCAAAGTCATATTGCTCAATGACTTCGATCCAACGCTTGAGAGCGTCAGAGAGTACCGGCTGGGTTCTCATCCATTTCAGGGTCTGATGATCAGTTCTAAGGATGAAGAACCTCCCAACGAGATAGTGTCTCCAATGGGTGAGAGCCTTATACACCGCATAGAGTTCCTTCTCATAAGTGGACTTAGCCAACTTCTGAGACGGCATTTTCTTAGACATGTACTCAACTGGCCTCAACTTTGGCCCCTCCTGCTGCGCAAGCACGGCGCCAATGCCATATTGGCTAGCATCCGTGGTTACTATAAATGGCTTATCAGGATCGGGTAGCTGCAAGACTTCATAGTGCGTCAATGCATGCTTCAGATGTCTGAAAGCAGCCTCGCACTCATCTGTCCACTCCCACGGGGTGTCAAGGCGGGTCAGATCAGTCAAAGGAGCGGCCACAATGCTATAGTTCTTTACAAAAGTCCGRTAGTAGCCTGTCATTCCTAAGAAAGATCTCATCTCAGTCACAGACTGAGGTCGTGGCCAATCACGAATGCTGGCCACCTTCGCGTCATCGGGCTTCAACCCTTCCGCGGAGATCTCATGACCCAAGTACAAGATACGGGTGCGGCCAAACTCGCACTTTTCACCGTTGATCTTGAACTTGTGTTGTCGCAGGAGACTGAGAACTTTGTCTAAGTGTGCTACGTGCTCCTCGACAGTCTTACTAAAAATAAGTATGTCATCGAGGTACACGACGACAAACTTATCCAAATAGTCATGGAATATCCGATTCATAGCGTGCTGAAAGGTGCCAGGAGCATTGCGAAGGCCAAAAGGCATCACCACAAACTCGTACAATCCGTACCTGGTCTGAAATGCGATTTTGTGTTGATCCTCGGGCCGGATTGCAATCTGATGGTACCCGGACTTCAGATCTATTTTACTGAAGTACCGACACCCTTGCACTCTATCTAACAGATCATCGATGCGCGGTAGGGGCTCTCTGTTCTTCACAGTGATGGCATTGAGGCCCCTATAGTCAATGCACATCTTGAGAGTGCCCTCCTTCTTCTTAGGTACGAACAGTACTGGAAATCCGTAAGGAGAGACAATCGGCTGGATCCAACCCTTCTCTATGAGTTCCTTGAGTTGGCGGCGAAGCTCATCAAGCTCGCCTTGAGACATCCGATAGATCCTACCCTTCGGAATACTAGACCCTGGGATAATCTCTATCGCGTGGACGACCTCCTTCTCAACAACCCCTGTAGGCTCCTCAAATAGATACGGGTACTTGGCAACTACTCCCTCTATCTCTGGCGGCATTTTTACCAGCTCGCCTGCAGCAGAGACGTAAACCAGATACATACCCTCCTCCGGATTTTGCTTATAATAATTGCAGAACGCGGCCGCACACAAGCATCAGTGGGAATCGATCAGACTACTAGCCTTAAACTTGTGTAATCTGGCGGTTCCCCCATTTGGCAAAGTGTGTTTGACCACCTTTCGGTCCCAGTCAAACTGGGGCTGTGCCACGGAGAGGTAGTACATACCTAATAGCATGTCCATGGGGAGCTCGTCACTAACCAGGAATGAGACATGATGCCTCAATTCCCCTCCCTCATACGGGAAAAGACATTCTATGTCTTTTAGGTAGTCATGGACTACCATGCGTTGTTTGTTGGCACAAGTCGATTCCACAGGTCGACTCAGGCGCTGCACTTGCCCCTGTAAGCGCAGCCTCTCAACGCACGCGCAGCTAATGAAGTTCCTAGTCGAGCAAGTGTCGTAATAGGCCCCGGCCTTGCGACCTCCTATGACTACCTCGCTGACAAACATTTCACTCCTAGGGGCTTTGACTAACGCCGTCCAAGAAGCTAGTGGGTCTAATCTAGACCACTCATCCTCTAGCTCCTCTAAGGATTCAAACACATTCATCGAACAGAGGGTTGATGGGTCTGAATGTGCTTGCGGGACGACAAAAAGAGTCTGTAGCTTGGGCCATTTCTCGCGAAGGTAAGGGTGTATCCACCACCGCGACCCTAGTAGGAACAGCTACTACTCCTACTGGCCCGACGTGTTTCCCGGAGCACTGCCTGAAGAACTGGCACTATTGCTACCAACGGGTTGAGAGGATCCTACCGCCGGCCACATAGTGGGCGGGATCTTCTCGGTGACCTTCCTGTTGCGGCACTTGTACATATTATGACCATATTGGCCACACTTGATACAAGCTTGCCGTGCCCACCGATCTCTCCACACGTCCTCAAATAGACCCGCTTTCTCCCATGGAGGAGCATTGGGGTCTGTTTGACTCTTCGACCGGGATCCCCTAGGGCGTCTACCGGTCCCTTTACCTTTTTGCTGGGTTACGGCGGCGACTACTCCACCCTCTGAAGTTTCGCCACCCACCTCTGCACCTACTCCCTCCTGGAAGTTGCCATCCAACTCGATGGTTGATCCATCGTTGTCGACAAACATGATGCGACCTTTCGCTTTCCAGTTAGGAGGCAGTGTCTTCTTTCTCCCTTCCGTAGTGGGTGTCTATCCATGCCCTATCTTTGCCTCAAGGTCTAGGGCTACCTTGCTGAACGAAGGAAAGTTGTGCATATTAATGTTGGCCTCTTTTGCCAACTGGTTCCTGAGAGGCTGAGATAAGCACCTCAAGTACGAAGTTAACAGGACCTGGGGGTCGTAGCGTACCCCTGGAACACAAATCAAACGCTCTACAGTGTTGGTGGCATCCATTACTGACTTAAACTGCCGCGTGTGCAGTGTCAGGATCGCATCAGTGGCCTTTTGAGCCTCCTGAGGATCATGCCACCTCTCTTCCACCATTTTCAGGAAGTCCTCCAATTTCTGAGAGGCTGCCCAAGAGCGGAAGTCATGACCGTACCCCTGGAGTTGCACTAACCCACTCAACCATCTTGCTGCACTACCCTCTAGGTAGGAAGCAGCCACAAGCACTTCTTCGTGTGGCAAGGTGAGTTTACACCTAACGTAGACCGGCACTGCCCTAAACCAAGTGTCGAGGTCTTCGCCTCTCTTGTCCCCTGTAAAAGGTTTGGGAGCGGCGATGGTCGTCTTTGGAACCCACTGATTTTGTCCATGTCCCTGCACCGCCCCGGGCTGTGGACCTGGTGTCGGCCTTTCCTGTCCCGCCGGACCCTTCCCCTATCTCGTTACTCACCCCCCCCCTTTGTTTTTGTTTTTTTTTGTCCCTCTCTTCGACACGGTGTTCGGCCAGCCTCTCCCTCGGCCTACAGCTTCTCTCCTCACTTGCTCACTCGATTCCCACAGCCAGCTAGGGCCTTGCGGTTCAGGCCTCGGGCCTGGCGCGCGTACGGAACTTCGAGCTTAGTCTTAGGCAGAGTACAGACGCGGAACCCAAGAAGGCCCCTGCCCGGACGTCTCGCTGAATTCTAGCGGGTACTGGAACCAGGCCGTATACCGGGCATGGTTTCAGCACTCAGCGCACTGAATCGAGAGACAGGGGGTCCGAACTCCGGGCCTGGTCATTTTGCGGGGTACGGGCTCCTCGCTAAAAGTGAAGAGGAGGCAAGGACCCAGAAAACGCCGAACTTGGTCGTCCGCCGTGTACGGATTCAAAGCTCAAAAGGGAAATCAGAGAACAAGGACTCGAAACCCCGGACTTGGCCGCTCGCAGGTCACGGACTTCGAAGCCAAACAGGGAACACAGACTTGGAGCCCCGAACTTGGTCGCTTGCGGGGTATAGATTCAGTGCTTAAAAGAGACGAGGACTCAGAAACTTCGAACTTTAACGCTTGTAGAGCACGGATTTTGAGCGCAAAAAAAGTGCAAAAGAGACAAGGACTTAGAACTCCGAACTTCGACGCTTGTAGAGTACAGGTTCAGAGTTGCAAAAAGAAACAAAAGAGACAAGGACTCAGAAACTCCGAACTTTAACGCTTGTAGAGTACAGGTTCAGAGTTGCAAAGAAACAAAGGAGACAAGTACTCTGAACTTCGAACCTCTCCGCTTGCAGAGTACATGTTCAGAGCTGCAAAAAAAAAAGGAGACTAGGACTCGACGCCCGTAGAGTACAGAGTCAAAGCTCAAAAAGGGAACAAAAGGAACGAGGGATCTGAACTCTGAGCTCGGCCGCCCGCGGAGTGAAGGCTCAAAGCTTCGTAAAAGAGGTAGACTAGCCTCGCGCTCGTCGAAGGCTCCGGCAGCGAGCTCCCCCCCCTTCCCAAAGACCCAACCAGATTCTTGCTATTCAGAAACGAAATAAGAAATGCGGCCCGACCGAACCCACAAATTCAAAATCGAGGTGCACCTGCCCACAAGTCACGACCAGATTCTCACTATTCGAAAACGCGACCAGGTGAAAAGAAGTCGAAGGAGCAGCACAGGCTCCAAGCTTAATTGTTTCTCTCGCCAATAGTGGTCGTTGTCTCTTCCTCTCTCTCTCTTCCTCTCTCCTTCCCCTTCCTCTCTCTTTTTATCCCTTTGTCCGTCTCTTCTTCCTTCGTTCCCTCTTCTCTCTCCCTTTTTCTCCCTTCTTCCCTTTTTACATCCCCAGCTTCTCTTCTATCTGGTCGATACGCTTGTTCCTTACCTCGAGCTCATACGTGGGTATGCCCCCCCCCCGAAGCGTCACGCCCGAATAGAGCGTTGCTTCAAACTAGAGCGAGGGTGTGTCCTCATGCAGGTCCAGTTCGGGTGAAGGCTCCCTCTTCCCGCGGGGAAAAAGTCTCTCCGACCTCGAATGAGGGCCCAGAGCAGTGCCGAAGAGCTGGCGCGACCTCCGTCGATCGCTTTTGAACAGAAGCACACCTGAACTTCGAGAGTCAGCCCCACCTCAAGCTATGGCCGGCCCCGAGAAACAGACGACCCGGGTGGGGAACGCTTCCGTACTCGAGAGCTGGAACCACCTCGTATGAGGGCTGGCTTGACCGATCGAGTCGCCGAATGCGGCGCTGCCAGTGCCGAGCGTGTTGTGACAGCGAGCCTCGAGAGGAGCTGAGACCTCGTGAGAGGGCTGAACGAACGGTCCGGATGTGTGCGCCGGCGAGACCCCCCCCTTCCCGGATCTCTTGCTAGTGTCCCGAACAGTAGCACTTCCGAGCTCGAGCTCTGGCATCACCCCGTCAGAAAGGGAAGACCCGCCCGACTGAACAAATTGCTCCAAACGAATAGCGCCGGTGACACCCCTCGTCATGCCGCTGGCGCGACGCTTCTTTTGGCTGAACGAGCGATGGTAACGCCTCGTGCGATGGCTCGCTTCGACCGAACGTGCGCTCTGCTCTCTCTCTCTCTCTCTCTCTCTCTCTCTCTCTCTCTCTCTCTCTCTCTCTCTCTCTCTCTCTCTCTCTCTCTCTCTCTCTCTCTCTCACCCTGTTGGACGCGAAAACCCGTGCTGAGCGTAGTAGGAGCCCACGAGCACTCCGTGCGTCTGTGTGCGCCTCTCCCTTCCCTAGCTACCCCCCTGCCCCTGCTCTCACTTTCTTTCTCTCTAGCGATGGCCGTTCTCCCTTAGGCTGTCGCCTCTCCTCCTCCTCCCTCTCCCCTTCCTCTCTCTCTCTTCCCCTCTCCTTCCCTCGCTAGGTCTCTCTCTACGTCGAACGCAGTTCTCAGCAGCTAGCTACGTACGCGGAACGCTGGTCCGTGCGTGCGCTCAGTACGTGCTCCTCCCGTGCGCCCCTTTTCCCTCACGCCTCTCCTTTATATATTCTTCCTCTCGTGATGTCTCCCACTCTCGGTCGGCATTTCGTCGTGCAAGGCGGCAATTCTAATTTTTCCCAAAAAAATTATTCTTCCTGCTTCCTCTTCACCTCTACCTCGCTCCTTTCCTTCGATCCTTTCTGACTCTGTCCCCTTCCAATCGGGTTCTCTCCTTTCATCGCCGCGCGGATCGATTCAAGTTGTGCCCTGTTCCACCTCCAGGCGTAGACAGTTACAGCGAGCCCGATTTCCTCTTCACCTCTACCCCGCTCCAGCAAATTTGTTCATAAATTTCATGCTCTCTTCTCACCCGGGATTACATTTTTTTTTATTAGTTCTATCCATCTCCAGGGACCCAAGGACTCGAAAAATCAAAATAACGAAATTCTTGAGTCATTTCAATAGGCTCATAAATCACAAGTTTCTCTGAATCATCGTATCGTACTTCCACATATCCACTGGGCGCCGCAACGACTCGTCGCCAAACTCACCTGAGCTTGGCGATAAAGTGAAATTCTTGTCTACACTTGTCAGTCTTGGAAAAACCAATATTACAATGGAAGCACCTATCTCTGATATAATAAAAAACCTGAGTAGATCTGGATTTTGTGATCAAGCGGGTAAACCACATGCCAAATTGGCCTGGGTGAACTTGGATATTGCAAAGATTCTTAAGAAATTTAATTAGATTCTACAAGGTGTTTGTGATTATTATTTCCCTTCGATCCTTCTGACTCCGTCCCCTTCCAATCGGGTTCTCTCCTTTCATCGCCGCGCGGATCGATTCAAGTTGTGCCCTGCTCCACCTCCAGGTGTAGCGAGCACGATTTCGTTTCCCGCCGGAGCGTCCGTTCGTCCCCTGCGTCGTGCCAATTTGAGTTTGGGGGGCCCATCTGACCAGGAAGCTCACGCTCTCTTCAGCCCTGTTGGCAGTTACCAAGATCCGGTGGGCGCGAGCGCAGTCTTTGGTGTCGTTCCCCCTTCCCGCCGGAGATCTTCAGTAGGCTCTGTAGTACGATTGCCCCCCCTTCCTCGCACCTGCCATCTCCCCACCCCGAGCACTCACCTTCCCTCAATCAGAAATCGCGCGGTTGGCTTAGTCTTGCTATGCTCGCTCGGAAGGCGCTGGCCCACATTCACCATCAAGCAGAGCCCTCCTCGGTCCGTATCTGCAGTTTTTCCAACTGTTCGCTCCATCCCTTCCACGTTCGTCATTGGAGCAGCTCCCCCTCAGTTTCTCCTCCCCTTATCCTGGTGATCTCCCCAGGCGAGTGGCCGCCGAGTACCCGTATCAAGTGACTCCATTCGTTCCTGTATTTGTCATCCCTTAGAGCGTCCGGATTCCATACGTCAATGCCAGCTCCGAGGGTGCAGGTCCCCTGCCGTATCGGCTTCCACGATTATCTGCCCGCATCGTTAGGCGCGCTCGCCCTCGAGCCTGCCCTGCCAAAGAAGGGGGTCTGTAGCTCGCTGCTATTTTCAAGATTGCTTCTGCCCGGTTCATCTTCGGGTCCGAACCCGATTGCGTTAGATCAAGCCAGCAGCATCGACTTTGCTCGGTCGGCGGAACCCCTTCTCGCTTGAGATCGTCGCCCCATTCCCGTCGCTTTCGATCCTCCTTTCTCCAACTAGTAGTCTCTAGTTATGCCATGTGGGGCCCTCCCCCTCGAAAGTCGAACTTTTGGTGTTCTGTAGTCAACCCCGAGTCCTCACAGGCGCGTCCTCGTTCCGAGCTTTCTATGGCCCGCTCAAAAGTCTGACCGCAATCTCAGATTCCTTGCTCCTAGGATCGAAACTTCAGTTTTTGAGGGACCCGCGTGAGCACACTTGCGATCCCGGTATAGACCGTCACCCCAGCCATTTGAAAGGTTAGCCACGAAGGCCCAGAAGCCCGAGGACAACGAAAACATCGTTCCCGCATGCATGCAAGCGTCAAAACCACACAACAACAGTAAAGAAAAGAAAAAATGTTTCCCATTTCTAAGAAAAAAGACCCATCGGCTGGTAGGCAGCCGCCTGACACCGGTGATACAGGTTGTTGGGCTAGCTGCTGGGGCTGTGTGCCCTGCGGCTGCACAGGTTGCGAGACAGCAGGCTGCGTGGTGACCGCAACCTGCAACGGACTCTGAGTGAACACTGTCTGAACAGGAACCTGTAAACTACTCCCTGCTGTTACCCCTCCTGACAGAGGCATGCCCAGGGAAACGATAGCAACCGATAAAGGGGCTACATATGGGGATACCCCAGTCACCGGTGGAACAGAAAGAGGAGGATATGGCACGGGCCAGGCACCAGGCCCTGCTGGT